CAGGGTACCCACATTTCCAGAGCTGAAATGCCCTGGAGGCCTGGTAGATATGCGCTGCCTAAATTCAACAAACTGGCAGGGTGACGTCCCCCCTTTACAAAATATCGATGATGTTCCCACATATTTTAAAAAGATGGCCAAGAGAGAAAGCAGATGCAAATGTGCTGCCTGTTACGTATACAATAGCTGTGCTATAAGACTTTCATTACCTCAAAAAGGGAAGTCTAGGTTCAAAGCCTTCCTCAGTTTGAGAAAGTCAAACCTTGCTGTTCCACCTCCCATGAAAGTGCCCATCCCTCCCAGACACAGACGAGCTACCTTTCACCCTTGCATGAGTCCAGGAGCAGGGAAAGCACAGGAGGGAGTTGGTCTTTGAGGGCTGGTGGTTAAACAAACTCTTCCTCTCAGAGAAGTTAGACGTGGGTTGGACACATGAATAGCTAATGAGATCACCTTGTCCTCCGTGCACTTTTTAAAAGAAAATAGTTAAACATGCTTGGTTCTTTAGGAGAAAAGTAAGCAGCTGCGATCAGGAGAGCCTGGACTCCAGATCCTGTGTCCGTGGAGGTTCTGATTCAACCTCCTTACCTTCAGAAGCAGAAGACGACTTCAGCCACACCATGGTCATTACTGTTTCCTACTGTCTTGCCCAGCGCAATGCACCGCCTGATCCAAATCCCATTTTGGACACATAACTGTCCCCAGGTAGCACTGAGAAAAGCCACTTCTCTCTGAGCACTGAGTCTCCTTTGGGGGCCAGACATGAGACCTGCATGACTGGCAAGAGAAGTAAGCCTCTCTGGGACAGAAGAGAGGCTGACCGTTACACCTCTTCTTCATGTAGGTACTACTTACAGGACAGTTGAGATACCATTTGAATTTGGGTAAACTAAGCAGATGATTGAGTTTTTGTAGTATGTCACTGTAACACATTTTCCGAAATTTGAACACTTTTGAGCATGCCTTCTGGAATCATTCTTACATTCCAACACCTCTTCTGAAATGTCTTTCAGAACTGAACATGCTCCAGTAAGTCTCTCAGATCAGGTACACAGATGTACTAGCTCCCTCAGCACTCTCTGATATTCTGCTTATGTATCCAGGCATTTCAGTCATTGCGCCAAATACAATATCAAATTAGAAGTTTTCATTAAACATTTATCACCTTTGAGTTCCTTTTTAGGTTCACTTCATACTAGGACATGCTAAAACTGTTTTGAGTCAATTATATCTATCCCAATTACTACTTCCACACAAGGTTTGGCGTCATTAAGGAGAAGGGAGATTTTGAATTGGCTTAAAAGCCAGCTTGTGTTAGTTTTTGAATTAGCTCCTCATGTACCCCAGGAAACTGATGTGAGAATCAGAAGGATGGCCAACGGCAGGGAAGGGACCAATACAGCTAAAGAAAGCGCATGAGCCACTTCAGAAGATATGTTTCAAGTTCCTCCCCAGATCGTTTGCCTTTTATTCTCCAATTCAGGTATTACATTTCCACTGGCTTCCACCAGGATTGTGCATGCACCTTGACATGTTCACAGAAGTTCCACAATACAGAGTTTCACAACTGGGATATGTCCCTACAATCAGGACACCAGGATGACAAACAGATTCTGGAGAATTTCTCATCGAATAGGATGGAGAGAACATAATTATCACATCGTACCACTACAATGCTTCATAAACATAGAATAGATTGGATCCATTTACCACAAAAATCACAAAAAGTAACTGATCAAAGAATATCTCTTTTATGTAAAATATACATTTTTTTAGGATATAATTTTAATACAACTTACATACTTATTTATGTTGGGTTTGCAACACTTTGAATAAAAAAAAAAAAAAATTCTTGCTGCCAGAATTTTATTTCTCATAATACTTATAGTTTGAGGTAACAATGAAAAAAGACTGTGTGCTGTGAACAAATTCAGTGATGTTTGTTTGCAGTCACATTTCTCTTATCAAAGTGAAAAGTAAACTTAAGATTTGGCATGTACACTAGAATTCATACAAATATAGATCGTGGCAAACTGAGGAAGCAAGGACTTTTGCAAACCTACTCTGTCCATAATTGTGACCTTTGCAAAATATACCATTATTATGATGGAAGTCAAGACAGATGTAGTTTACATCACTATCATTATAAGTGTGTGTCTTTGTATGATCCACAGCACAACTTACTGCAGGAACCAGGAAGAATAAACACAGGGGTGTGGGTCTTGGCATGGAGCCTTAGCGATGATGACTTGAATTCAGCTTTCCTTGATATAGATAAAAACTGATATTCCATGCACACACATTTTATTTACAGCTGACTCATCAACAGTGACTAGTCACCCCTTTCTCTGGCAGCAGTAATTATGAGCAGCCTTTAATCTTCTTTCACAAACTCTACCTCCTGTGTAAAGTCTCAGTGACCTCTTCAAGGCGTGAGTTGTTTATCAGGGCCCATTCAGCAGCAGCAGTCTCTTTCCAGTACAGTCCTTGGTATGGCTAAATTCCATTGTCCCTTTTTCAGCAGTCAAAAATCCATGATAAATTCTGTACAACACTGTAGTTAATATAACAGCAGCACCAGATATTATATTAATTCCTTTGCTAAAAGCTGTTTGCAATTATCTTTCTATTGACAACATTTTACCAAAACTAAACAAATGTACATCTCTAAATATCAGAAATGTATACTTTGATAAATAAATACATTATTGTACAAGAATTCTGACATGCAGGTCATGCTGCTGGGCTAGGCTATATAC